GATATAGTGGATTAAATGAAATATATTATTAAAATGAATGTCATCTGTCCCAGACAAGAAAAAGCTAAGGGAGTTCATCATTACTAAACCAATATTGCAAGAAGTGTCGAAGGGACTTTTTTAAAATGGAAGAAGAGGAGGAGGAGGAAGAGAAGGAGGGAGGAGGAGGGGAGGAAGGGAGGAGGAGGAAGAGATAAAAAACATGAATAATAAAATGGTGATAACTACTTACCTCTCAATAATTAGTTTAAATGTAAATGGATTAAATGCTCCAATCAAAAATACATAGAGTAGCTGAATGGAAAAAGAAACAAGACCCATACACATGCAGCCTACAAAAGACCCACTCCAGATCAAAGGGCACACACAGTCTGAAAGTAAAAGGATGAAAATAGATATTTCATGCAAATGGAAATGAAAAAAAAAAAAAAGCTGGGGTAGCAATACATCAGACAAAAGACATTTTAAAACAAAGGCTTTACAAGAGACACAGGACAATGTATATATAATAGCCAAGGTATGGAAGCAACCTAAGTTTGTACAGACAATTGGATAAAGAAGTAGTACTTATATACAATGAAATATTACTCAGCAATAAAAAAAGAATGAAATCTTGCCATCTGCAACAACAGGGATGGACCTAAAGGGTATTATGTTAAGTAAAATGTCAGACAGAGAAAGACAAATACCTATGATTTTACTTATATGTGGAATCTAAAAAATGAAATTAATGAACAATCAAAACAGAAACAAATTCATAGATACAGAGAACAAATTGATGGTTGCAGAAAGAAGCGGGGTTAGGGGGCCGGATGAAAAAGAAAACAGAATTAAGTAGAAATTGGCAGTTAGAACATAGTTATGGGGATGTAAAATACAGAGAAGGAAACATAGTCCATAATATTGTAATAAGTATGTATGGTGCTGGGTGGGTCCTAGCTTATTGGGGAGATCACTTTGTAACTTATACAAATGTCTAACCACTATACTGTATACGTGAAACTAGTATAATATTGAACATCAACCGTAATTGAAAAATTTTTAAAAATTTTAAGTAATCACATTTTATGCTGAAATAAAATTAGATAATTTGAAATTCAAAAAATAAATAAAATGAATATCATCTGTACTTTTTTACCTTTTTGCAATGTGGTTCCCAGAATATTTAAAGTTACAAATATGACTTATATTACATTTCTTTGGGCAGTTCTTCTATAGCTAACAGACTGGGAAGGCTTCAACTGGGCCTAATTTTAGTGTCCCAGCAATATGAAATGACTAACTTTTAAATTCAAGAACATTAGAAATATCCTGTGCATGAGGTAAGATTCTATCTAGCCAGGTTTATGACAATGTGCCCCTCCATGACATTATTCTTAAAGACCAGTAATATGTTTACATGTCACCTATTCTGTATAATCTGCCTTTAAGGCCAAGGTTTGGGGATGATCCTTATCTATGATTTTGCCAGGTCATCTCAACTTTCATACAGTTCTTTCCTAAGAGTCTTACCTTTAGTTTTGGTGATGTAAAGAGAAGGTCTTAAGACGTTTTACTAGCATTATATTTTGAGTCTTTGTCAAAAAAAAAAAGAATATATATTGTATAATAACTCTCTGTGTTTGAATTTTCTGCTAATGGTGATGTCGTCAGACTCTTGATGATGAAAGCATTATAAAGTCATAATGATACTGTCATAATGTTACAATTGATAGCCAGTTATTCTCATTATTACCAATGGTAGAACTTGATCCCATTTGAAAAAGTAAAGGATTTTAAATATGTTTGCTTTTATTTGTTGTTGTTGTCATTGTTGTTATACTTCCTTACCTTTCTTGTCACTGATTTTTACTTATAGAAATATATTTTAAATGGTGTTCTGTGTGTGTGTGTGTGTGTATATGAATGACACAAAAAGTAAAACATCTTTATTCTCATCCTCTAGGCATTGTTCAACTATCCCAGGTAAAGCTAATTCCTTCTTATGATTTCTTAGAATGTTTTTAAAGTACTTACTTTTCTGATTATAGAAGTGACACATTTTCATGTTCTTAATTTTGTCAAGTGCATAAAAGCACAAAGGAGAAAATGATAATCACATGTAATCACACCATCCTGAGATAATCACTCTTAATTTGAGGTAGCATGCACCTTTATTTTGCCCTTCTTTAAAAATAAATTAGTTTTTCATTTTGAAAAAGAAAGACACACATATAGAGTAAAAAAATTCTAACAGAAGGTTATATAATGCACACTGAATCGTCTCCCCACAGCACCTGACTCTTCCTAGTACCCCACCTCCAGCGGCAGCCACTGTTCAGTTTCTTGGCTTTTGTGTGTGTGTGTGTGTGTGTAGTTCCCTCCTTTTACACAGATGGCAGCATACCAAAAACAGTCTTCGGTACTTTGACTATCTCACTCATCAGTATATTTTGAAGACCATTTCATTATACCTCATACATCTAACCTTCTGTTTCTAGTGAACTGTCGTTCATTATATGACCGTGTCATAATTTAACCAGTTTCCTATTGTCAGACATTTTGGTTGTTTGTTATCTGTGCTATTATAAGAAATGCCACAGTGGAAATACTTGAATACGCTCTACAAACACGTTGAGCTATATTGCCGATAAATTCTTAGAAATGGAATTGCTGGATCAAAGGTTATATATACCCAGTTAAAACTTAAGTAAATGTTGCCAAAATTGTGTTCCATAGAGGTTGTTCCACTTTAACTCGTACCATCAATAATGAAAATACCCATTTCCTCATATCCTTCTCAATATAGTGTGTTGTTAAAACTTTTGGTGTTTAACAGTCTGAAAGGTGTGAATTGTCTCAGTGTAGTTTTAATTTACATTTATTTTATTGTGGCTGATGTTGAGTATCCTTTTGCATGTTTAAGGGCCATTGTCATTCCTCCTCTGTAAACTGTTCATAGCTGTTATTTTCTATTAGGTCTCTGTGTTTTTACGTTTTTAAGTAAACTTTTACTTTGGCACATTTTTTGGTTTTTAAAGATACAGTAATTAAGACCATATAGTTTTAAGATAGACACATAAATCATTGGGACAGAATCAAGATTCCAGAAGTAGACCTATACCTATACGGACAACTGATTTTTGACAAGTAAGAAAAGGCAATTCATTAGAGAAAGAATAGTCTTTTAAAAAATAGCTCTAGGATATCCATATGCAAAAAAAGAGAGATACCTTTGATCAGTGTTTTGCACCATACACAAAAATTAACTCAAAATGGATTGCTGACCTTAGTGTAAAATCTAAAACGAAGCATATAGAAGAAAACATAGGAGAAAAAACAGAAGACAATGAAAAGGAAACTGCAGATTGGACAAAATACAGTAAAAAATGGGCAAAATAGTTGAACAGACATTTCACCAAAACGAAACAAAACACACACAGAGAAGGCAAATAAGTATATGAAAAAAATCATTTTAGTCTTCATCTTCATTAGTCTTCAGGCAAATGCAAATTAAAACCCCAATAATATACTACCACACACTTATTAGAATGGCTAAAATTAAGAAAACTGGCCATACCAAGTGTTTGTGAGGATGAGAGAACTGGAGTTCTCATATGCTGTTGGTGGGAATGTAAAGTGGCACAACTACTTTGAAAAAGAGTTTGGCAGTTTCTTAACAATTTAAGCACATAATGTGGAAATTTCACTCCTAGATATTTACCCAAGAAAAATGGAAGCATATGTTCATAAAAAGATCTGTTTACGACCATTGATAGCAGTTTTCTTGGTAGTGGCCAAAAGATGGAAACCACCCAAATGCTCGTCAACCCAAATGTTAGATCCAGATAAATGGAATATAATATGGGATTGAGCCAAAGTTATCAAAACAGGCATACTAATCTGAGACTATAGGTTTAATACGTTTTCTTAGTCAGCTGGTAGTGGTTCGAAGAGTTTTCTTGGTTGTTAAACTAAAATTTGAGTTCAGTGGTAGACTACAATCAGTGAGGTTAAGATGTCATAGCTTCCCCTTCCTGAGGGAGAAAAAAGAAACCCAAAGCTTTAGGGAGCTGAGAATGTTATAGTGAATTTATCGTGTTCAAACCATTATCCTTTCCTCTGACTGTGTTCCAGGGAGGAGGGAAAAGGAGGAGCTAGGAGGACATTTTCTTTCACTAAGTCATTGAGAAATAAATCAAGGGAGATACTGACACAGATGCAATGTCACTGAAAATTATGGAGTTTACATTACTGGAAAAAACTCTAGGCCTGGGGAGCAAAAAATTGACTTGAGCTATCCCAATAAGTTACATTGTCTCACCATATTCCCACACCTAAGCCAGTTAGTCCCTTGATTGAAGGGGCATCTATGTCACCTTGAGGCAGGATGTGTGATCATTTACTAGGATAACTATGTCCGTGGGGACAAATGCAGAAAGAACACTAACTCTGAGTTGACAGTAATTTCTAGAGGCTAGAAATGGCATTGTGATCTACTGAACAGAGTGAAGGCTTATGGAGACTAGGGGATAAATTAAATTCTACCCTGAGTTTATCTCACAGTGGTTCCAGCATATAAAAGAGCCACTCTGCAGCTTTTGAAGTCCTGAATTCATGGTCGAACTATTTATATTTAGCAATATTTACATCAGAATATTTACATCAATCTCTAACCCATCGCATAAGGGCTCATGGGAAAGAAGGGCTAAATGGAAGCCAATGGAAAAGACTTTCCTACTAAAACAGTAAATCAAAAGTAATAATACCTCCCTGTGGAGATTGTGAAGATTAGTGCTACCATCAAGGACTTGAACATTGGAGGCTGTTGATTCCTATCACTTCCTTGTTTAACTTGCTTGTTTGGCCAGTATAAATGCTAAATGAATTTAGAGAATGCCTGTGAATTATTTTATATTAAGTGATGATTCCAATTACAGCTACTTTTCCAGATGTTGTATCTTTACTGGAGCAAATGAATATAGTCCTAGTATTGCATCTGTAGCTAACAGATGTTTTACCTCATATCGCTTAGTATGGATGATCAAAAGCAGTTTGCGCTCACCTGGCAAAGACAAGAGTAAACCTCAGAGCTACGTGAACTCTCCTGCATTGTCATAATATAATCCACAGAGTCCTTCATCATCTGGACATCTCACAGGCTATCACCGTTAGCATAATTTTGAGCAGAAAATAACAAGAATCCCAGACATCATGCTAATACAAATGCATACCAGGAAGTGGAGGAAAACCCCCATAAAATTCGGAGGCCTGACACATCAGTGACATTTCTGAGGAGCATGCAGGGTTATCTGCTCTAGACAAGTTCCTAAACCTTGTACCACTTGCCACCAAATCAGAGGCATAAAGCTCAGTGGAACTCTTTGGATATTGGAGACAATATCCAATATCCAATATTATATTTGAGTGTGCCACTCTGACTTATTTATTGGGAAACTGGTAACCCTGCCTATTTTGAGTGGGGCCCAGGGCAAGAGGAGGCTCTGTATAAGGTACAGTCTACAGAACAAGGTTCTGTGCCCCTTAGCAGGTCCAAGTGGCAAACATAGATACCGAATGGAGCATTTTGCATAGCTCAGATAGAGAATGAATGCTGTACGCATGGAATTCTAAATTTGTTAGAGCTGTGACCTCTCCTACCCACCAATAACTTAATGTTACCTGATCCATCAAACCGTAGGCTTGGATACATGCAGCTGCAATCCATTATCACATGGAAGTCATTCTACGAGATTGGATTTGGGAAGATTGGAAAATTGGTGACAAGAAAGTCCGAGGTCCTTTATGGGCTTCTGAAATAGGCACAGAGGACTGCAGCAGGCATGCATATTTTTATTATAAATATAAACATAAATGTAAATCTATATTATTACATATAGGTATCTATCTTTATATGTAAAACAATGATTTTTCCTTTTTCCTTCCCCTACTATTTTTTAATGAGGAGTGTTAGTTTTTTTCTTTTCAAATTAGATCAGAGTTCACCAAACTGAAGAGCCGTATATAGTCCTGAGGGAGAGGACCTCATATCATCTGGGTCTTGGACATGGTGACAGAACCTTTCTGTTTCACTTTCTCGAATAAAGCGATTATGTGTACAAAAGTTAGCTGAATTCTGTAAGGTGGACACATGAAGTCATTTTATGAGTTAGGTATGGGTAGAAGTGTGAGAATGGGAGCTTCATGACAAAACGGGTGGACTGTGGCAGCCATTTGTTGACTCTCTATTCTCTCTCATTTTTCCCACTCTCTGCTTAGTGTGGCAGAGACCCACATTTCCCAGACTCCCTTGCATCTGACTGTTGTATAGCACCAGACAGTGAAAAGCACAGCAGAAGAGAGGACAGAAGAAGAAAAGCACCTCCCCCCTTCTCCCTTTCTCCCGAGTGGCATCTGTAGCAGTGACTAAAACTCCCCTCTGTTGTCCCAGCTCATGTCAGGCAACTCATGCCAGGTTGTAGCTCTTTTTGGACACCTTACAATTTATCCGTCAGGAGTGCTATTGCCTTCACTTAAAAAAAAAGCATATAATATAAAGTTGTACAAAATTCTGTGTTGCTTCACTCTCCCCTGTGTGTCCCTCAGCTCTTTTATCACTTATATGTCCTATTCCCTATGTTAAATTTCCACTGTTTGAAATACATAGAATAGTAGTTTCTGTTTTCCTAACTGGACACTGACTACTGATAAATGTGTATGCATGCATGTATGTGTGCATGTGTGTGATAAATCAATTTGTAGAAAATATTATATAAGCACACACATGTGCCTATGTGTATGTGTATAGGCATGTGGTAAGCATATAAATGCATACAAAAGGAATATTGAGGGAAAGGTTTTCAAAGGGAGAATAAAGGAAGGCTTTCGATTTTCTCTGTATATTATTTTATTTTTTTATTAGTTTTTACAACGAGCAATTTTGCAGTTTTAAAACATAGTTCTTTTTGAATGCCACCATTTGCCAATCTGGCGGCAGCTTTAATGTTCTCGAAGTTTTACATAGAGAGTATATTAGTATAGTTGCAGTGACTGTCCCTTATCCACACCCTAGACAATCACTTTCCTTAAGCAATATGAGAAAAGTATATCTACTCGGATCAATGAACATATTTTAGGTTTCATTTTCTTGTGACAGATCCTTTTTTTTGTTCAATGCAATCCAACGAATAATATATCTTCAATAGTCACAGAGGATATGAAGTCACTACATCATCATATTGTTAATATATCCATTCTGCCACTGCTACATCTCATGTTACATGATTCAAAATGAATGTGAGGAAAAGTGTGAGTATGCCATGATGGTGGGCTTGTCATTTTGTTAGTGAGTTTTTTAGTGCTAAAATTTGTCACGTGCTAATTATCTACGATATAAGATGAAATGATGCTCTTCAATTCAGAACTATTACAAAAGGGCTAAAATATTATCTGTTCTTCTAAGAACTTTATAGTACTTAAAAGCCCAATAGAGTTTGATAGCTTTGATATCACTATTATATCCTCTATGATGATCCCAGCAGTATTCAGGAGATAAAAGTTTAGCAGGTTTATGAAGAAAGAAATACTTGTTTAAGTGACTTTCATCATGCCACACTGCTTCAATGTTATTTTTCTTATCGTTCATGATTCCTTTAAAGCACTCTCGAGCAAGGTTGAGAACCTGAATGGGAGTGCCACCAAATACTGCAGCATGGTAATAGAAGTCTCCCTTACCGATAGGTATATATGCTTCTGATAACTGATTTCTCTCATAAGGTACATCTATAGGGTTTGCCTTATACCAATAAGAATGTAACTGAGCTACTGTCTCCCCCAGGGTCTCCAGTCCATATTCCTGAAAGAAGACTTGATCCACGTCCATGCAGAAGAGGAAGTCAACTTCATATTGGATGTGATCTACAACATGTTCACTGATCGTCTTCATGCGCATCATACTAATATCTTGCCATCTCTTCTCTCGCTTAATTTTAAAAACTTTGATTGTACGGAGGGGACTCAGCTCTATCCAAGGCATCTTGGAGAAATCATCTATCAGGACATAAATTATGACTTTCTGGCCAACCATAAAATAGCTATCAGCAGATACTATAAAGTTGTACAAGTAGTACTCAATATATCTGTGAAGTAAAAAAGAAATGTTCATTTTCTTCTGTTTTAGTGGAACACATACTATTTAAATTACACTGACTGTAGTTTATCCAAAAATACTTAGTACTAAGCAATCAAATATTACATATGCTTTTAGAGTTGTATTTAAGCAGTGTGAAAGAACATGAAGTTATCTGCCTTTCCTCTCCCTGATGAAGTTCTATCAATCATAGGAGAGGAGTTCCATCAGGGAACTTTGAAAAATCAAGGCTCACAAGTCCTGACAGGTGTATGGTATGCCCGGGACTCGAGGGGTTGGGGGCAGAGGGGAGGAGGTGAGGAGAGACAGAGACAGAGAGAGTCAGGGAGAGAGGGAAGGAGGGAGGGAGGGAAGGACAGAGAGACTGAGTGCGTGTGCGTGTGAGTTCGTACCTGGGGTTCTGCCTTTATTGAGGTCAAGGGCGGGGTGCTCAGGGTTTCACAAATGTACTCTTTATTGGCAAATTTAAAATATAAGAGTGAGAATTAAAGTGTGGGAAGGGAAAAGCAGGGTCACTCAAACAGTCAATTATCTAGGTTGCCCAGGGCTTTCTAAAAGGGGAATTTCATGGTAGGGCAGCTGGCTCTTTATCTTGTTGGTTAGCTAGTAATCACATAGCTGGCAATGTGTTTGTTTGAGATGGGTGTCTGAAACAGATGCCTTGGCAATCAAAAGCTTAATGTCTGGCATATACAGTTGATCAAAAGAGCTTATACTCAGGTGCTTACACTACAATGGAAAACTTAAAGTTTTTCAACTTAAACCCCTCTATTTTGGAATATTAGAGTTACAGAAAAATTGCAAATCTTTAGAAAGAGTTCCCATATACACTTTACCCACCTCCCCCTAATGTTAAGATTTTATATAACAATGGTACATTTGTCAAATCTAGAAATTATCAGTGGCAAAATACTATTAACTAAACCACAGATTTAGTTGGATTTCACCAGTTTTTCCTCTAATAGCCTTGGTGTCCTTCCGGGATCCACTCCAGGACACACGTGGCATCGAGTCTCCTCTAATCTGGGTCGGTTTCTCACCTTGTTGTTCATGATCCTGACCATTTTGAAGAGTCCTGATCAGGCATTTTGTAGAATGGTCCTCAATTTGGGTTTTTCTGATGATTTCTTAGGTAAAGTTAATTTAAATAGTCCCATTTATTAACCTTCTCCTTTATGATTAGTATTTTCTGTGTCTTAATTAAGAAATTATTTTCTTTCCTGAGTTTATAAAGATAAACTGTAGTTTTTCCTTTAACTTTTGGTCTTTAAACTACCTGAGACTTGATTTTTGTATATGGTGTGCTACAGAGGTACAATTTTAATTTTCCCATGTTGACATCGGCTTTCTGCAACA